CCCGGAGCGCGGCCGCCCCTCGTCACGGGCCGAGCCGGGCTGGAGCGGGCCGCAGAGGACAGCGCGTCAGCCCAGGACGGGCGCAGGGTGCGCCCCCTCGTTTATTAATAAACAGTGCTGAGCTTTTGTCTCTGCTTTCCCTTCATCCTTATTATTATTTAATCCTTCCCCCCGCCGACTCCTGTTTGCCTGGTGACTTGCCCTGATGCCGCCTTCCCTGGAAAGCCAGCAGTGCAGCCGGGGGAAGGCTGAGGCACCCCTGCACAGAGGAGGAAGACGCCCAGTTTTTCCCTAGGGCGCGCAAGGTTGAGCCCGGCCTCCCACCACCTTCCTGTTGGGCCCTGGTGCCACCACGGCTGCTCAAGTGCAGCGTTTTGGGGTTCTCATTAGGGATCGAGCGCTTCCCACGGCAGCCACGTGCACAAGGGGTTGCTGCAGCTGGAGAAGGGCAGAGCGTGGCACCTCTCCTCTGCTCTTCTCGAGCACCCCTGGCTAGGTGTCCTCTATCTGCTGTCCTTCTGGTTCCTCCTTTCTTCTGTAAGGATTAGATGCCTGATCAGCTGGCAAAGCCTTGCACCCTAGTGAAAACACTTCTGTCTAAAGCCTATGTAGAAGTACCCATACCTTACTCAGCACCACTTTTCAATAATATGTTCAGCATTTCTTTCTCTTTGATGTTGCTCTACCCCGTTTCATCCTCATTCACATTCTCTGCTGAGCAACGACAGCACATTTGCAGTCAGAACATGCAGAAATTGTTTCTTTCTTTGCTTCTTACAATCGCACTCCAAAATAATTGGCCTGTTTCTGTATGGCAGAAGAACCTTTTCAACTCAAGACCAGAGCCCACGTTCCACAGACAAGAGCTGGGTTAAGTTGGCCTCTCGCAGCATCATTTCAAGCAAGCAGTTTCATTTTCAAGTGAGATAAAATAGGAAGAGCTTTGAATTTCAAACTTCAACCATGAAGATTTTGTGCTAAGTTGCACAAGCCTGTTAAGGTTGGTACCCATATGCTTTGCACGGTTGCAAGATCCTAATTTTACTAACTGTAAAAGCACCAGATGGGTCTGCACAAGATCTTTTGCGTCTTCTGCAAGAGGGAACATTCACTGGTATGCCCAGAGCCAGCAGCTTTTCAGTGAGCTGCTCAAGTGTGCAAAAATGTAGCTTAGTGTGGCACAGGCCTGGGGAGACAAGGCCTCTGCTCGTCCTGCAAGGAGGTGCATCCCACCAGCTCAGTGACAGCATTAGCGAGAGAATCAGAGCGGGAACTCTGCTTCCCTTTCCTCTCCTCACACGGGAGGAGCTGATCCAGTGCCCCCGACGCTCACAAACAGCCCACTCACAGTCTGTAAACTCCAGAAATGCTCCGCGGCGGAGGAAGAGCACAAGAAAGTGGGTTTGCTGCAGATGGTTGAGCTAGGACGGCATTTTTGTGCTGAGCCAGGTCTTGCCTTTCGCTGATGAGCTGATGAGCTAATAGGCTTAAGGCTGATGAAGTAAGGGGCTTAGCGCGCTGTAACTCTACCTGAAGACCTCTAAAGCCGCAAACTGTAGCCTCCTGCGTGAATGCTGATCTGGTTACTTCCATCTGCCTTTCCACAATGAGTGCAGTCATTTGGCCAGACAAAAAGCCCCGGGCAGCTGTCATCACCCGAGGGAACATCCCGGGGCACTTTGGCACCTGCCTCTCACATGCGCCCCACGTGGCCCCACGGATGACTGGGGCACTGAGAGGCCATAGTTGGGTTACCAGAACTTTGTGAGGTTTTGTTACACTTATTGAAGAACAATCCCTCTTGCTTCTTAAAAAACGTAAAAGAGAATAATGTAAAAATAAAAAATAAATAGGATTTTTTTGAGGGGAGGGGGGAAAGTTCTGCCAACACTGCAAAAGAGTGTTTTTTTTGTTTTTTTTGTTTTTTGTTTTTTTTTTCTAATTGGTCAGTTTTCATTTTTGGAGGTCACTAGGAGGCGAGTTCCCCTTCTTGGCCATGTTTGCCCAGCTTTGTCAGTTGTTCTTACGGGGTATTTCTGCTACCAGGTTTGGGTAAAGCCTCTGCCTGCACAAATTATATCCATGTAGGTTATTACAAGCTTCTCTCTCCCACCTGTGGCAGCATCAGGAATTCTAACAACAGCACACAACGTGAGAAGAGCATAGTATAAACCTTTATTTCTCTGCTTAAAGTGTGCTATCCTTCAGAATGTTATTCCTCAGAGGAATACTCTTTCCGTATTCAAAACACTGCTATTACAGTATGTCCCTATATCAGTAGCTGAATTTCTTTCCACTTGTGCATCACCACATTAATAAGGCGCACCGGTGATTTTGCTGTGAGTTGTCACAGATAACAGTATTACCTCCCCTCGAAGTGTTGTAATTTAGCAACGTTGCTGCCTACCACATTTCCCATTTAAGTGCCCGGCTTTCTCAACCTTTGCAGAAATGTTGGTGTTACGCTGATGGCTTCCTAATGGCTGGGGTTGTAGTTTTTCTCAGGGTCTTATCTCCAATAAATAAAAAGATGCTCTTTTGTAATTGCTATTAATTAGCCTCCATTAATTTTTACCTTCATGACATGAAGCAAAGTCACTTTTAACCCCTGCTTGAGCTTTACCTGCCCCATATATTTCCAGACAGCATCAGCATGCACTGTAGGATTTTACGCTGTCTTCAGTAGGATTTTGTACTGGGACACCTGACACTGGGTAAAAACACACTAAAATATGACCTTGGAGAGTTGTTTGGTCTTGCTGAGCTGACATAACTGAAAAGTACACTGTTTCCTCATCCAAACATGGCCCATCTGCTTCTGGGCTTCTTTCAACTTCTTTCCTTCCTTGCTAACTGTTTCCATCTCTCTGCACTGATTTAATGTCTCTCTTAGGATCTATAGGGCTGGAGCATGCACAGGAGCCACAGCAATAGGCACGGCAGGTGTCGCCACCATACCGGTAATGGTGCTTCTGTTCTCATCTAGGGATTTTAGATGTCCTGTCTGCTCCTGTAGTATCAAATGAACTTGCCAGCCCCTATATAACATGTGATGTTCATAGGCTCGATCTTCCTTGCATTTCTTTGTAAAACCAATCTTTCAGGAGTTCTGGTTTCAGATAACTCCTTTCATTTAAGTGGATAGATACTTGTTAGGTATATGTTTTTAGCCTGGACAATGTTGTTTTCTACAGTTATGTGAATTTTTTTCTTTCTAGTCTTTTTTTTTTTTCATGTGATCTTTTAAAAATCTTTTACTGATTTTGTTCTATGTGTAGCTCTTCTCTTTTGGTAATTTCAGAATATTTTTTGTGAAAAAGTTCAAGATTTTAGCTGGATCCTCAGAGGAGACTGCTCCCTTTGATGTCTGATTCAGAGTGTTAATAAAATGATGGCACCTGATTTCCTCAAGCTCCCTTATTATTATTACCAGTGAGAGAGATGTGTTCCGTTTTCTTGCATTCGCATGTTTGCATAAGTCCTTTGGGATATACAGATGCCATAATATTAGGTCACCGCAAAAGAAATCAAATTATTTGTATCCCAAGAAATATTTTCATTGGTTTTACTTCACTATTTCTGTCTCTTTAAATATTTGTTTAGTATTCTCACAATTTCAAGTCACGATATCCAGCAGTTATTTTACCTTTTACATCACTGCTTAAATTAAGAGGCATATTAATTTAAGTACTCTGACTGCTCTTGACTGTCGGCAATATGGGTACTTAATTCAGTGTTTTTAAGTGTATTTTAATTAAAGATGTAGTGGGGACTGACCTTCTGGAGAGCAGCTCTGCAGAGAAGGACCTGGGTGTCATGGTGGACGACAAGTTGACCACGAGGCAGCAGTGTGCCCTCGTGGCCAAGAAGGCCAATGGGATCCTGGGGTGCGCTAAG